ATGTAATGAATCTAGAATATATGAAAGTTTCACTTTTTGAAATGTTACAAAAAAAAGAACTTTCACGATATTCTAATTTTTTGCGATGCACCTGTATATATAAATACACACACATACAGTTTATATTATGAAAATATTTACATTTTGTTATATATATACATGCATGTGTGTGTATTTATATATGCATAATAAATATACACAGTACACACACATGTATTATGTAAACAAAAACTTTTATTTTGGATGTGATTAATCGTTTGACAACACTACTATAAACTAAACAACTTAACTCAACATCCTACTCCACAAAACATTAAGAAAGATTATTTTCATCACAATACTAATCTCAGCATGCTATAAGATTCTAGTTCCACAACTAATAGTAAAAATCTAGTATTTATTGTAGAAAATAATGAACTTGTTTTGTGTCTCTAAAGTGACTACAAGACTGAAGTGGTTACTGTGAAGACATCAAAGGACATCAGTGATGTGTGAGTGTCATAGATCAGTGCTTCTCAACCCAAGGGTCACGACCTACAAATGATCTGTATGTCTGTTTTGACAGTCACAGACAGCAGGGAAAAAGGCTAAATAGCAATACTCCAGGCAACTTACCATATATTCATTCATGAATTGAATAGAAACAACTTTTTTAAAGTTATGCCATACATTTTGTTGATTACATTTAGTAAACAAAAATGATTTTCTTATTCAGCTTGTGTAATGTTACTATTTTTTCATGTTGTTGGGCCAATACAGGACATTTCCGTGTGCTTTCGAACAAACTATTTTGGTATACTGCATTGTGAACGCTTGATGTGCAATTTAAAATCTGTGTAAAATGATGGGATTTCATAATTCAATTACTGTTTTTGTGTGTTTGTTTTTAATTTGTGTATATATTAACAATGAGCATAATTATTTTTGTCTAGACCAACTTCACCTGTCAAGACCACTACAAGGTACAGTAACCACAGCCTTGCTGAATAACCAGAAAAACATACAGCTGCAGATGGCTGACTAATCTGGAAAAAATGCAGTTACTAATACCTTTTATTAACCTCTTAACCTGTTTCATTTACAGCATCAAGACCTACACCAAGGAGGATGTTTCACCACCTAAAACAACATCCTACAGCACAAAGAGGTGAAAGATTCACATCACAATTCTAGTTTAAACAAACAAAAAAAACAGTGCAGTGCAATGACATGAACCTGCATTTAGAGACTGAATTGTTGCTCACTGCACTTGTTTTGTGTCTCTAAAGTGACTACAAGACTGAAGTGGTTATGGTGAAGTCTTCAAAGGACATCAGTGATGTGTGAGTGTCATAGATTAGTGCTTCTCAACCCAAGGGTCACGACCTACAAATCACTTGCATGTCTGACATCTATTCTAATAGTTCACGCACAACAGGGGAAAAATTATGGAGCTAAAAATGCAGCAAACCATATAATCATGCATTGATAGAATAGGTAAATAAATGAGCTCTATCTTTTGTCTAAATCCTCAGCTGTTTTATAAATGTTACAAATGAATCCCTTGTGAAAAAGTTAGTGCAGTCAAGCGATTAATCGCATACAAAATAAACGTTTTTGTTTGCATAATATATGTGTGTACTGTGTACATTTATTATGTATATATAAATACACACACATATAGTATATATTTTGAAAATATTTACGTTTATGTTTATATCCATAACATTTATATTATAAATAAATAAATTTAATATATAAACATAACATATTTTTCTGAAATATATACATGCATGTGTGTGTATTTACATATACATAATAAATATAAACAGCATACATACATATATTATGTAAACAAAAACTTTTATTTTGGATGCGATTAATCGCGATTAATCGGTTGACAGCACTAGAAAAAATATACTTTAGCATACTTTTAAAAGAACATACTCGAGTGTGAACTGAATGTAATGTTTTCAGACACTTAATTGCATGTTAATTGCAATGTAATTCAATTGTATTATAGTTTGCATTCATATTAAATGCAGTGAGTTGAACTTGACCCACTTAAAGAGGACTAAAGTACATTTGTAATTAGGAAACTGCTTTTTTGCATTTAAAATGTATCAACTTTAAAAGTAATATTAAATTTTAAAAAACTACAGTTAATTATAATCACATATTTTACATGCATGCTAGTCAATGCATTACAGTAAGTGTACTTTAAAGCAAGACAAAAGTTTATTCAAACATCATTTAAAATCTCCTTTTAAATTAAAACTTTCTATTTGACAGTTTTGGCCTATACCGAACAGTTTAATAAACTTCAATATTTGAAGGACATTTTTGTCCTAAACCACTGTAGTAAAATCTAACCTATAAATTATATATATTTAATTTTTATATATATGTGTTGTATTTTGAGTGTATTGACCTAAAACGTATTATCATTTTTTTCTAGACCAACTTCACCTGTCAAGACCACCACAAGGTACAGTAACCCCAGCTTACAATTTGCTGACTAGCCTGAAATAATAAGGCTGCTCTATTAACCTCATAACATGTTCAATTCTAGCATCAAAACCTACACCAAAGAGGATGTTTCACCAACTAAAACAACATCATATTCTGTCCGATCCACAAAGAGGTAAGAACCTGACAGATATTTCCAAGTAGTTCCACACCCGTCAATGCTTCTCAGACAAAGAACATCACTGACTCGATGCTTTTCTTCAGCACTGAGGATCAACTGTTCGATACTCTCATACCTGCGTCAATCAAGTCAGCCAACACAAAACCTGACAGCAGGTATGTGGCATTTACATATTTATAAGGTGTGAACCCATTCGTGGCGAGTTTGACATTTGCTTCGGCCTTTAAGTAGTTTAACCAGTCTTACGACTGACAGGCTAAAAGCACAAAAGCAGCTGCACATTCATACTTAGAGCTCACGACTTTCCATTAGAGCTTCACTCTCACTGCAGCAGTGTTTATGCTATCATGGACTTTTATCGTTCCTACAGTCACGAGGATGTATCGGTCTCCAAATCCATCAGAACCGTGTATTCAACAAATGAGAGGTAGGATGGTATTTCTTATTCAAGCATCTTTGCCTGATACATTATCTGTTGTTTATTACACTAATTTATCTTTTTTTTAAATGCATATAGAGATGAGTGGAGTACAGTCACAAGCCCTTCTTACACCAGGACATCATACACAGAGAGCAGGTTCAGTATCCACATCGACATATTCAGATGTCTTGTCAATTAAAACACTACTCTGTTCCAAGAATTACCGATTACTTTTGACCAGGTTTGTAGACTTAGTTATGTCACTTTGTCCACAGGCCTGCTGATTACCTGTCTGACTCGCTCACATCAAAAACCACCACGACTGCGTACACATCACCGGAAAGGTATGGAAGCGGAAAGAATACATATTTAATTGTGCTTGATGTGAGATTTAGTGCACATGTGAAATGCGGATCACTTTGTTGCAGGGTAGTAAGTGGGAAGGACATCTGCACGGTCTGCCATAAAAACATGTACACCGATGAAAAGATTGTCTTGGATGACATGAATATCAACTGTCACGCAAGTTGTTTCAAGGTTAGCTATTTTTAAGCTCTTTAAAAATGTGTAGTAATTGTTTTCATTCAATCAGTACTTATGTGAGTGCAGTGTGAAATATTAACGTTTTATTTTAGAATGAAGATTTTTGGTGGTGTTATTAATGTATTAAAATGTGTCTTTTTTAACTATATATATAACTTTATAACATAACTATAATATTTAAATTTCAATAAAAACAAAAATGATACAATTTGAAGTATAGAATTTATGTTTTATTAAAGAAAATTATTTATTATTAGTATTATTTTATTTTGTTCTTTTTTTAGTGTGGGGTGTGTAATGTTTCTCTGGGACACCTGAAGGCAGGGGACAGTTTGTGGGTGTACCGCCGTGCCATTCACTGTGAAAGCTGCTTTGGTGTCACTAAGGGTAAGATTCGTTCAACTCTATTTTTCAGTATTCTGAATGATACAGTCAATGTGTTAAACTAAATAAACAAAAATGTTTGTTTTACAGGCAAATGGCTCCGCTGAAACCACACTTGGCAATAGTGATGCTATGAGAGAGACGGCAGATATACTTGCCTATTCCAAAACTTTCCCATGGCTTTGATTTGGACTCGGGCCATTTGAAGTACATAAACAGTTTATGGTGGTGGACTTCTGTCTGATAATAGACTTTGGGGTTTATTAATTGCATTGATTGCCATTCTCCCCGATGATGCGACAAGGATCTTATTTAATTACCAAAATAATAAGAATATTTTTAAAGAAGAATATTTTTCCTAATACATGATAATAAATGTTTTTTGAGTTGCTTCATTTTTTTCTTCACTATTGTTGTATGATTAAAGCATGCATGTATATGATGAGATTTTCATTGTTCAGATCTGGTTAAACATCATTCCAGAGATGAGTTATGCAGTACCTTTCACCTCTGTAGCTATAAATTGAATATGCTTGTGTTGTAAGTATTTCTAAAGAATTGCAGTCTTTCAGAAATATGCTGTGATCAAGATCAGACACTTCGACTCGTGTCTTATGACAGGATTCATAAGAGGATGCAAATAAAGAGCTAAAGTTAGCTGTTGCAGCTAGTGTTTTTTTTTGTTTTTTTTTTACATGAAAGGGTCAATTTGATGTTTAAATTGATATTATTTGACCTTTTAATCCTTTAAAATGTTGATTTTATCTGGATTTCTGTCATTTTATCAAAAGGGAGACAAACCAACTAAACTTCGTCACAGATTTCTTTAAATCAGTTGCTTGTTTTATATCTATATTTAAAAAAAAATGGTGTCACTTCCTGGAAGATGATGTCATTAAGTGACTTTTGTTAGTTTAGGGATTTTACAAAGACTAACAGAATTGAAGTTGACACTGAGGACAAAGGAAAATATTCACAAATAACCAATTAAAACTATCTGAAATATTAAAATTAGATAATGGAAAATTGAAGAAACACCTGAAATATTTCTTAATAAATTATAAATTTTTCAGCAGAAAAGTTCAATCCAAATAACACATGGTTTAGGATTTACTTTGAAACAATCTTCTCTTAGAAATTGCTTGTAATTTTTTACAAATAATGACAAAGAAAGAAGTAACATTGAATTTAACATGAAATTCTGACATAGACTGAAATGTAAAAAATACTCCGTTTAAATTGTGATATGATAAAAGAACTAATACATTTACAACACTACAATTGTGAGTTTAATATCTCATCCAATATATTAAGACATAGGCCACTACCATTCAAACATTTGGGGTCAGTAAGAGTTTAACTGTTTTTTACAAGCTTACCAATGATATTTATTTGATCAAAGTACAATAAAAACTGTAATATTATTGCAATTTAAATACGTATTTTAATATGTAATGTATTCCTGTGATGCAAAGCTGGATTTGCAGCATCATTACTTTACATTAGTCTTCATAATGTCACACCATCCTTCAGAAATCAAGGATGTTGAAAACAGCTGTGCTAGCCTACTTCATATTTTGTGGGTTCTTTAAAGAATAGAAAGTTCAAAAGAACAGCATGTATATGAAATAGAAATATTTTGTAACACTGTAAATGTCCTACCGTCACTTTTGATCAATTGAATGCATCCTTGCTAAATAAAATGATGAATTATAAATCATATTGACCTTAACTTTGAACGTGTATTGTATTGGGAATATATTTGAGAATAGAATAGAACATGACACTCCAAGATGTAAGGCACCATTTTCTTGCTAGTCATCTGAATGGAAAGAAAGAAGGATGTCGAGGAGCTGCATGGGTAAGTCAGGGGCTGGTGTTTTAGCCTGGTAATTATGTGGTGGTCGTGTGTTGTGTTTTGAACTGAGGGGGAGGAGACAGAGAGAGACACATCAGCATCTGAATGAAGCGTGCAAGCCGTCTGAAAGCACTGCGAGGCTGGGCACACAGGGTAAACAACACCGCCACCATCTTACTAACTGTTTATATGCTTTTCTCTTCAATGGACGGACTGCTGTTCAACCCGCAGATGATGGCGGACGTCAATGGCAACAATAAGATAATGAACGCAGAACTGGAGGTGAAAAAGCTTCAGGAGCTCGTGAGAAAACTGGAGAGGCAAAACGAGCAGCTCAGGACGAGAGCAAACGCTGCGAACAACTGCACCTCCAGCGCCCGTCATGGCCCAGACACCGGGAATTACTGCCTTTCATCCTCCTATTCTCCAGCGTTTGGACTGTCGGATGAGCACTATCCGTATTTCCATCCGCAGTCAGTGACTGGTGCTGATGAGGATGATGCCACTGTGCTGGATGAGGTGGAAATACTAGACCTTCATGTTGTTCTTCCCATCGATGGAGAGTCTGGTTACAGCTGGTACTGATGCTGCATTATTTGCCCAGTAAACAATGGTGTAATTCTTGCCTAAAAGGATTTGATTTTCGATTTTCAGCGTTGCATGTTCTTTGTCATGGCTTAAATTCAGTTCCCATGAAATGTCACCATAAGTAGACCATGTGTCCAGGTCCATTGTTAGTTACTGTTGGTGAGTGTCTGAACATCACTGATGGCAGGGTAACATCTTATTAGTGGTGAAAGATTGGCATGCTGTGTTGATGTGAAAAATGTCCATATTATTCTCAAGATCATTTGTCTTCTAAATGTGCACAGATGCATACATATTTGACTGTTCATTTGGGATAATTTCACACCGGATGGTCAAAAGTATTCTAACACTACACAGAGAAATAAAAACAGCGAATCTGGCCTGTCTTGTACATTTTCAACCGAATCACATCGTACGAATTCATACAGAATTGCCACCTCATAAAATACTTGGGTTTTTAAAAGAGAGACAAACCAAATACTAGGACATTATTAAGCTAGGATGTTATGCTGATAATATCATTTGTAATGACAAAAAAAAGTTATGTTTGAAAAATGCACAAAAATGTCTCAGACGCGAAGCCCACTTTATGTGTTCATACTGCATGGCATAAGATATCGATTAAGACTGAAATATGTATTTAAAACATCCTTTCACATTTATGTTACATGTTCATGAAAGCCAAACCATAGCATAAGCAAACATCAGGACATTCACAGAAATGGGTAGACATTTGATCAAGTCAAATAAACATAATTCACATCCTGAATTCAAATTTACACCTATATTTATTTTTAATCTTGCTAAATAGTTAGTAGAACTCTTTTAATAAATGAGATCATGTTTTTATTTTGCATATGTTTTTAGATAGCGATCAGTTAGATCATGTTTCAAACAAATGACTAAGATTTTCTTAAGCAGGTAGTGGTCATATATGCCTTTTCATATTTTAGGTGCAGTTTCAAACTCTTAATCAGCTGAGCTAATCCAAATGTTACTAGATTAACGATACAATTCATGAAGCATCCAGGCAACACTATAATAATGAAAGTTTGCAAAAGTACAGATTGGGATGTTCTAACCATGTTTTTATGTCACCAGGTTGTACGTGTCTCCAAAAGCAAAGCTGTTTCCTCATCTTCTCCTCAGTCCTCTTCAGTGGTGCAGACACGTGCTGGACAACCCCAGACCAGAGGTGAAGTTAGCCAAACGCTCATTGTGCTACAAACTGGACCAAGGTACCAACCATCATTCCCATGGATATAAAGTATGAAATCTGAATGTCTAAAATATCAGTGCAGTTTATGGTCAAATTTGAGTTTGAGGTTTAGGGATTGACCATTATAGCTTTTTTAAAGAAATATTTCACCCAAAAGATTTCTTCATCAGAACAGATTTGGAGAAATTCAGCATTACATTATTTGCTCATTAATGGATGCTCTGCAGTGAATGGGTGCCGTCAGAATGAGAGTCCAAACAGCTGATAAAAACATCACAATAATCCACAAGTAATCCAGTCCATCAGTCAACATCTTGTGAATTGAAATGCTGCATGTTTTAAAAGAAACAAATCCATAAAGGTGTTTTTTTTATTTTTTACATCAAACCATTTCTTTATCCGTAATATTGTAAAAAATAATATAGTGAAAAGGTAATCTCGTCTGAATCAGGAGAGAAACAAGTGAAAACAGTCCAAAACAGTTCCAAACAAATATGTTGTTATGATTTTGATGTAAGACGACAACAGGGGTGGACTTTTTCACTGGAGGAAGTGTTATTATGGATTATGGACCTGTATTTTGGCCAGAAGCGATGGCTTAAAGTAAAAAAAAACATCTTGATGATGGATTTGTTTATTACAAACATGCATCTTTTCACTTCAGAAGACATTAATTGATGGATCGGAGTGTTATGGATTACTTGTGGATTATTGTGATGTTTTTATCAGCTGTTTGGACTCTCATTCTGACGGCACC